AAGAGCAGACCACAGTTCCCACACCAAAGAATCAACATCAACAAGGCCAAAATACCTGACAGCCTCTGGTTGCGTTTCGAGCTGAAGTACATCCAAACCCGCAGAAGCTACCGCATGCTGCAAATGCTGACACCTGGGGCGATGCAGAAGACCATCCCTGGAGTCACAGAAAGGACATACATCCTCCTTATGCGCCAGAAACACATGGAAACCTTACTCAAAAGCGTAATTGCTGGAAAAAAACATTTTGGATGCCCACCTGTTCTGGAACAAAATCCTGTGTTCTCGAACTGGTCTTGGTTCCGGAGCCGAATGGGACAAACAAGCACGGGCAAGGAAGTGGATCTTTTACTTCCGTCACGTCAATAGGGCTGCTTCTGCTTTTTTCGCAGGGAAGATCTCTGAATAAAGTAAGCTTGATTCTCAGCAGGGCTTCATGCGCGTAGCGCAGTATGAAAGTGATGACCATTCCCTTGAAATTCAACAACATGTGTTTTATTGAAAAACATGAAGCCTTCTCCACATGAGGAGATTGATTCTATCATTTCTATGTCATCAAAAAACACCTGCAAGGAACTGCATTTCCACTTCTCTCAAGTCAATTGTATCTTTCTTGTATCTTTATTGCGGAGAAGAGAGAACTCTATTCCGTTCGTAGGAACAGAGGTTTGGCTCTGCCAGTGGCTCAATAAGGGAGAGGTAGGTTATTTTGGGTTCATTTCTAAAGAGAAAGTCTGAACTCCTGGGCCTTGCATTTTCCCTATATAGAATCCTTACCAAAGTGGTTCCGAATTTTTTGGATAATTCTTTGACTATGTGCTCCTCATTTTTCTTGCAAAAATTGCTTACTGACTATGCTTCATATTGAAAAGAACTGGAGGTCCTGACTTATTGCTTGATATTCACAAAAACCCGTAGTACATCGTTTTTGAATAAACCCCTTCAACATTGTGCTTAAGGAATTCTCAAATTCAAGGTTCTTGTGACTCGCCATAGAAATCCCTTTGCACGTGTGTTGCATTCTAAGCAGAAATTCTTCAATCCTGGCTCCTGTTCGCCTTCTTTCTATTTAGAACTCCCATACTGGTTACATTTTAAGTTTGAAGAGGAATTCTGAAGTCTTGGACATTTTCTTGTTTTCTTTGCAGGACTCCTGAGCAAATGTGTCTCAAATTTCAGCAGGAATCAGCAATTACTCAGAATATTGCACTTTTTAGGAGACCGAGAGGATATTTCTACTAAGGTGGTTTTATAAAGAAAAAGGAAGCCCAAGACGTGAGAAGTCATGTAGAAAACTTCAAGCATATGCATTTAGTAAGGCATTTTTTCATAGACAAATGAGGAGAACAGGCGCGCAGGATTTGAGGATTCCTGTTTAAATCTGCAACACATGCAGAAAGAACTATTTAGACAATTTCAGGAGCCCGGGAGGTCAGAATTCATTTCTGGTATCAGTATTGTCTTTTACATGTCCGCCGACCTTTGCGGGCGTGTTGGATGGTGTGAGGGGACGGAACACAAGGAAAATTATTTCTTTTCTCCTTACCGCCAGGGAAGGGGGTAGGGGTACCCTGGCTGGGCTTTCCTGGAGAATTTGAGCCGATTTGTCGGCAGTGGTAGGCGTCGGGGTAGGAGTAGCAGTGAGGGGTATAGTCCAAGACACCATAGCCTGACCCCTGCTGTCCAGCGCACTTCCTCCGAACATATCTCCTGTAATTTGTGGTATGCGCTTATTCTGCGCTACATAGGTTTCGGCATCTTTGCTCCAAATATACCCAAAGCAATGTGGTATACCTTCCAGCCTTGCTTCGGTGAAAGATCCCAAACTCAGAAACCTTGAGTCATGACCTCAATCCCAAGAACTTGATCTAGAATGCTACTCCCTGCTAAGCCCTATACCTGACATGGTGGGTTGGGGCAACTGGCCCAGGCCCAAGCCGAAGCGGGCTTCTTCTGGCGCCTCCAATGACCAATTGACCGTGAGCTTTTGAGGTAGGAAATGCCTAGGATGTAGGGATTAGGGATTTTTTAAGCTGGGTTGCGTAGTAGGCTTTGCAAACTACACTGGTGTTTCTGGCAGTCTATAGGAGAAATTGTCACAACAGGACCAGGCCGCAAGCGCTGGAAACTACACTCAAATGTACTTACGCATCCCGTTTGGCCGGTCTCAGCAATATTTTTTGAGAAATGCCTAGACGCCTGTAGCAAGGAGATTGTACAAAGAAGCTTAGGATGGACTGAGGCATGAAGCTGCCATCTTGAAGGAACTCTGCGCTTGTCCGGACAAGGGCAACCGGCACACATCTACCTGAAACCTTCTCGTGATGCAAGGTTTCTTGCTAGTTGTTTACACATGTTTTCAGAAACGTGCGGCCGAGTTAATTCATAGCCAGAAGATTGCACTTCAGTTCTGAAGTTCGCTACAGCTCCAGACAAGTCAGTCCCGTTAACGAACTCAAAGCAGTTTCACCGTATCACTCTGCCGTTGGAGCGAATGTGGCTCGCGCCCTCCACTCCCGGCAGAATGAAGACCGTCTATTTTTGCTGTCTGCTTCTTTCACCACGAGAGTTGTGGCCTGTCGTGGTGAGCTGATTCTTGGTTTCCCATACTCCGAGCTTAAAAGCTTCCAAGTCCTTGAACTGGTTCTTACAGGTCGTGCCATCAAATGCTCATCACATCTGGATTGTACAGATACCAGTGAAGAGTATTCGTGCCCATGTGAGCAGCGGTACCTGAAATGTCAGAGTGCGCCTGCTTATGGGCAAGGCTTGCATGACTTGACATAAACTTGACATGTTTCTTGCAAGGCAAACCGCTGCCATCAAAGCAACATCCCGTTCTGCGTCACATCATCAACTTTGACAACGGGGACCATTGCAGTACAAATTTGGTCTTCGTCCAACCTAACCACGCAAGGGTTTGACCCAGAAATCATTTCTGGAAACCTTCCCAAACCTCTCCATATGAGCTATTGTCAATGTCAGTCATATTAAGGGAACCTTAAGAGTGGACATGGGGGTCACTCTTGCAGTTCAATCTCATCCTGATTTACTCCCTAATAAGGAACCCGTGTCCACCAAACTATGTAGGAAATACTCCCCAAACCCTAAACCCTTAAACCCTTAAACCCCCAATCCGTACAACCCCCGCTCATATGGAACCCAACATGCCATGGCTCCGGCAAAAAGTTCGGAGAGGCCCGCGGGGAGCTCAGAGCCTGGCCATGTCCTCCCTCCACCGCATATGAGCTGTAGTCTAAACTCCTTAAAGGGGGTTATATAGGAGATTGTATAGGGGACTACTATAGGCCTTATTAAGGGGGATACTATGAGTTTAGACTATAGCACATATTGGCCGAGTCAGCCCAAAGGGCCCTGAATCGCAAACGGATTAGTCGAGAACAGGGCAGGGGCAAGTCAGACATGGCCGGGGCCGGCGAGTCAGAAACAAGAGTCGGGAACAAGACAAAAAACAAAGGCTGGATGCAGGTTCAGGGCTGCAGGACTAAGAGCTCGAGAGGGTTTAGGGTTTAGGGTTGGTTTATAAGGTTTAGGGTTCCTGCCTCGACCACTGTTTATTCTCGACTTGGCCCCTTCCTTCTCTTGACATTCTTGACTCACCCCGACGTTCTTTCCGCTCGTCCCCCCGTTGCTTCCGACTTGTGCTCCTGGCTTGCATCTCATCCCAATCCACCATACTGGGGTCCCTGTAGAAGGGTTGAGGGTTTAGGCGGTTTAGGGTTTAGGGTCTAGGAGATGTAGGGGACTATGAGAGGAAAACTGGAAAATCAAATGGAAAAGAACATGGAACATGACACGGAAACTGCTAGATGGGGCTCAGGGGGTCCCTTTTCAAAGGCCATCTAGGGGTTATGTAACATAGGGGTTCCAGAGATGTATGATGCGAGGCTGTAACCCCTCCTCCGCCCTCCAATGGTATGGTGCTGGCATAAAGCCCCACAGTTGCCAGTATTCTGGTACTCGACTGTCACCATGGAGCATCAAATCCTGATGTTGCTGAGGTCATTCAGATTTTCCTCTGCCCCCCCTCCCCGTGTGGTGTGGTGGGTTATGACAAGTGTGCGGATCGTGGCAAGGACGCTCAATATCCTTCTGACAGTTGGTATTTTGAGATCTGCAACATCAAAAATGACAACTATGAGGATCGTGACCAGGGACGGACGCCACTATCCTTGTGACTGTTAGCACTTCTGAGATTTGCGACATCACAACGAAACGACAAGAGTTACGAGACCGGCGCTTCCGAGGCCTCAAAAACAAGGACAGTTACGAGGATCGTGAGCTGGACACACACCATCCTTGTGACTGTTCGCGCTTTTGAGAGGCCTGGGCTGGGGGTCAGGGACCATATCATGGTGGGGGTATGGCCCGGGGACCAGGATCATACATGGTTTGGGGTTCCCCAAATTTGGGTCCATTTTTTTGGTGTTCCTTTAAACTTAAAAAGGATTATCATATTTCGATTTATATAGCTGGACCCTCCCTCCCTTTTTTTTGAAACTCCCACATAAGTATTTTAAAGCGGAATCGTTGGATCATGTAGGAATCCTATAGGCGGAAAACACCAGCATATAAAGGAGGGATATCCGAGTTTGGGGGTACTTATATTTGGGGTTAGATGTAGGCTAGCTATAGTTTGTAAGCACTTTGGGGTTCCCATCATCATGCTCATGAACGTTTTTTCAGTTTATTGCACGCATGCAGCTCACGTTTTTTGTGTTCATAAGGCGGAGCTTGCGGTGGAACTCGATCTGACGAAAGTCACTTCTGGCCTTGGGCTAGAAGTGGACTGGGCAGATGGAAAGACTCTGTTCATCAAGAGCGTTAAGGCCTTGTTGGACCAATTCCACGATGTGCTAGAACGGAAGTTAGTACTGAGCTACTTCCATTTTTACCTTTCCTACAGTCGCCGATGTTGCGGCGTCAACGTGCCGCGTATTCTGAAGGCTGAAGGTGCGGTGCCGCACTGGAACAAGAAGCATGCTGCAAATCCAGTTGCTGCTGGCGATCGGATCATATCCATCAATGGCAAGGCAGGCGATCCCAAGGCTATCCGGGTGTTCGCAACAAACATGATACGAATCGTACTGCTAATAGGAGAACGAAACAGAACTTGAATTGGGCCTTAAGAAGTTGTTAGTGGGCACACGAGCCTGCGAGGCGATGTTGGCCGTCTGTAAGAAGGAGAAGCAGCTTTCATTGTTGATCCGGACTGGGGCTGGTGATACCAGCACTGTGGAGTTGTTGCATAGAGCAGACTATTTGTCTTCGATATGTTTTTTGTACATGTTTTTTTGCATGTATGCTGCCGCGTACCTGGGAGTGGCCCCGCATCTCAGGCAGCCAAGAAAGTGGCCTCGAGCATAACCTCAGCTGTACAGCACTCACTGGCAGCGCTGCCATCCTCGGATGATGGCGGAGCCCTGGCTCACAGATTGCAAAACATGTGAACGATGACTGGAGTCGGAGTAGGGCAACCAGCCCATAAGGAAAGTCGAAGCAAAGCCCCAAGTTCTTCGACTTCAACGCGGTCTACTCAGTCCGCCTGATCAGCTAGAGAGCCCAAACAGCTTGGAGCTACAAGAATCTGAGGTCACAGTGGACATGGCATTCCATAGTCAACTTGGATTGGACGTGGACACTGCAAGCGGAAAGTCCCTGTACGTCAGACATCTGCAGGCAGGTGCCATTGAGGAGTGGAACCGGAAGTGGCTTAGCAGCGGACATTGTAGTAGAAATCATCGCGTAGCATCTAACGATTGAGGGCTTCAAGGATTCAAGCGCTCAGTGGGTTGGCCTCTTTGTGGAGCAGGTCTTGTCGGGTTTTCTTTCCGTGGGGTCAGGAATTCTACAGGGGTAGGACTGGACCTATGGACCTATGAATTACAAAATCCTGCGTAAGGTCCAGGATCCTTTGGGCATTAAAGCTCTCAAGAAAAAGTTCGCTGGGGTTTTACTCTCAATCTCTGGATCAGAAGTTTGCTTTCTTAAATTGCCGTTGTTCATTCAGAGCTCGGATATGTTTCTGTTTCTCAGGGTTATGGGATCCGTCTGGACAATGTTCCGCGGCAGCGGTTCATGGTTTACATGTCTTGATTGAGGCTTCAAGTTCTTTGGGTTGCGACTTCGACTAGATTTTGCCAGTTCAGTAATGTTTGGTACGACACTGTCACAGCTGGGTGACGTGGCCTTCCGGCAAACCATGCGCGCTCAGAGTTTGTTGGTTGAAGGTTGGTTAGCGCTTACTGCGTTGCAGCGGTCTCTGATACCTCCTGGAAATCGAAAGGGATCCCTTCTGCGAAGCTAGACTCTGTCTCCATGAGATGATCAGGCATCCAGCTCATTTGTCCGTGCACGCTGGTGACCGAATCGTTGCAGTGAACGGCTTTGCTCATGATGCTCAGGCAGGATCCAAAGCGCAAGGAATTCTTGTGTTCAATGCGGCTGTACGGCCAGGCCATGGTCTCCTTGTGTCGCGAGCTCATGCAGAGCCGCAGCAAGTTCCAGCTGCGAGTACGGGGCCCACCGCCTCTTGGCCTCAAGCTATGCTGACAGGTATTTTCATTCTCCTCGTGAACCTTAGCCGGATGTAAGCAGCCATCCATTTTGAGGCCACCTCCAAGCAAGATAGAGAAAAGCAAGGACCATCCTTGTAGCTTTGGCATTTCAATTTCCGCTTCATGTGCAAAGAACATGCAGGAGACGCTGCGTGAGGACAAAGTTGAGGAGAAAAAACCCAGTGATCCTGATGGCAACGCCAACAGTAGCAGCAGCAATAGCAGCAGCGCGGAGGAGAAGGCAAAGGACGCCGGCAAGAGCAAGGAGAAAGATCGTGAAAAGACGACCAAGCAAAAGGACAAGGACAAAGATAGGTCAAAGGACCAAGGAAGGGTAAAGGACAAGGATGCAAGCAAGGACAAGGAGCGAGTCAAGGACAAGGATCGCAAGAGCCGCGAACGTGAGCGAGAGAAGGACGGAGTCGGAGGCAAGGACAAAGAAAAGGCTAAGGACAAGCAGAACAAAGAGAAGAAAGACAAGGACAAGGACAGGGACGCTGACAAAGACCGAGGCAAGAAGCGAGCCAGGTCGCCTGAGGACTGAACTTCGCTCCTGTTTCTGGCCCGGACTTGATCTCGTACTTGTGCTGCCGTGGAGGCTGGATTTGGGAAATTTGTGGTGCCTCGCTTCCCAACTGCACCCACAAGGTGCATCTCCTGGAGACCACCATCAGCCGCCATCCCCAAGTCCGCAAGCAACTAAGATCAGCAGCCTGGAGTTGCAATTGCTGAATAGACCTGCCGCTCCGGCGACGAAAAGCGCGTAGATGTGAGGCGTCGTCAGTAGCAAAAGATGAGCGCTTCAGGGCTGATGCTGAAAAAATGCAGTCGTGGGCCGACGTTCAAGATTCTTGTGCGTGCGGACTTTGAGTTCTACATGCTGCCGTCATGCCTTCAAGGCAAAAAGGGAAAGTTTTCGTGCGTCATGCATGTTCGGCTCTACAACACGAGTGCCTGTGCACTTTGACCACTGCCCACTTCGGGCACGGCGTCATGGACATAGTCAGCTTTCACACAACATCTGCGAGACATCAGCATATGTGGATTCGTACGCCACAAAGCATCACAAGCGAACAAATTGTCGTGGACACTGCTTTTGGATTTGTGGCAGCTGACCTCATTCCGGGACTTCAAGGATTCGCGCCTGGCAGGAGGCCAAGATCTGCTTCAATGGAAACAAACATCCCAAGTTGATCTTCTGTTCCCGAGGTGATGGCACATCAAATGCCAGTGCTTGCAGGGTCCTTAGAGGGAGGGCCCGCTCCGTGTGATAGATGCGTTTGGCTGGAGGAAGAAAACAGGACCAGCCCTTGCTTGCGACAGCAAGAGATTTGATCCTCAAAGCCATTCAAAAATCCAAGTTAGCCAATCGACATCCCTCCATCCTAGCTTTAGACGTTACATTCCGTGACAGGCCAAGTTGCATGCGAGTGACAAGTCAGCCTCAGCAATCTGCATCTAAATGCTATGGAAGGTAAAGCTAAAATGGTTTGCAATTCGCATTTGGAGGGTGCCCCTGTGCTTGGGCTTCAGATGCTTGGTCGCTTGTAATCGCCACCTGTTTTCTCGTTCGTTTCCGTCAGGTTTCCTGGCAAGAGGATGAGCAGAGGTGATGCAGTCTGCGTTATGGCCATGGATCTCAATGCAAAGTTGAGACTTCTTCTGCTCGCCTGTCATTTCGAAATTTCAGGAGGCGACTGAGACTTTTGGAGAAGAAGGCAAGTCTCACCGACCAAACGGAGCATTGTGGCAAAACACGGCTTGCCTCGCGATTGGGGAGTCATGGGTTGGAGTGCTTCAGGAGTATTCTTAGGTACGCTTTGCGTTTCCGGCTGGAAATGGATCACAACTGATCCTGAGCAGATGGCGCTGCAAATTGGGTGCTACTGTGCAGTATTTTGTCCGTGACCAGGCAAGTGGTAAATTGATATGCTTGGATCCTTCAATTTCTATCAACTCTGTATAGATTTGGTGCATAAACGCAGAGTGCATGATCGTAATAAGGTTACAAGAATTGTTATTTACGTTTGCCCGAGCGTTCTTGCTAATTTCATTACATATATTCGTATGATTTTTGTCCATAGTGGGTGCCCCTGAGAATCCCCAAATATTAGGGTCCTTCCTAGAATTTTTTTTTTGGGACCTGGTAGGTTGTATCCACGCGCCCTTTGGGAGCAATATCGCTTGAATTCGGGATCAGGTATGGACCTGTGGCTTTGCAGTGTCATTTTCGTGTCATGTCGCGTTCTTTGCAGAAGCACATGGGTTTTCACGTCCGACATCCGTCACTTGGCTCAAGCACTTCAGCATTTACAGAGTTGCACCACAAGCATCACTCCCAACCAAATGAGAGCAATACTTTGCTCTTGCGCGTCTACAAAACAAGAAGCCTTTATGACGTGCACCCCACAATTTGTTTACCCCCCGTGAGCCTGAATCTTACGCCCATCGCCCATGCCACAACCAGTATCCCTGAACCTCAGCCCTACACCATGCATAGCCCAAACTTGCACCACAAGAAGGGACCCATGGCCTCTAATTTCTACGCACGCTCCAGGCGGGAAAAGCCTGTGATGACCAGATAATATCCCGTAGTTCCTTTGGAGTTAAACATCATAGAGAACGTTCCTACTTAGCCCAAACCATTATAATACATCTTTCCATTTCACTTTCCACCTTTTTCATATGATTTGCCATCATTCGACGGAAATATTCCTAATCCTAAGCCGTAAATCCCAAGCTTTAATTCCGAAATCCCAGCCACATCCCAAGATAATCCCTAAAGTTTATATACAGCCACCAAACACAGGAGGGAGAGCCCGAAGTCTTCGATGCTGCCACGAAAGAATGGGTCTTGGGAAGCCATGCTCAGGCCTTTGTATCTACGTTTACGGTTTTTGGGTTTAGGGGTTTAGGGATTATGGGCTCCTGGGTTCAGGGTTTGCAGGGCTTAGGTTTTAGGGTTCAAGGTTTTAGGTTTGAGTGTTTGAGTGTGAAAGGGTTTATGGATTTGGGTCCAGGGTTTAGGGTTGAGAGGTTTGTGGTATAAGGTGTAGAGGGTTTAGGATTTGGGGGGTTTAGGGGGTTTTGGGGGGTTAGGAGGTTTAGGGGGTTTAGGGGTTTAGGGGGTTTACG